TGCTCAATGATTCATCAACTGTATCTCTTCAAAATGGCTGCTTTACCCGTTCAAGATAATATGACCTGATGTAGAAATAGCAGCAACGATCATTTATGCACAATAAACAAACAAAACTCTTCTCGCTGTGAAGTGGGTCGCCATGGTTTTTAAAAAGTAGGTCCTCAGAAATAAAGTTTGGGAAACGCTGCTCTACACCAACAACCACAGCAAACAGCCAGGAAGTCATTTATTATTCTAATCCACACGAAACAGAACAGGAAACAGTTGATTCAGGTAACTCTGCACCGAAGCAACAAACACTGGAGATTTCAATAACTTTAACATACTTTAAGTGTAAATTATCTAAAAAATAAATACGAGTACTGGCTCAGGAAAAGGCCAGAAAACCTTGATCAGGACGTCCCTGATCACCATTGTGGTTTGGTTTGGCGAGACAGACTGCACTTGGGCAAGTGTGCGCCAGTAAAGGTTATATATAAGTTTATATTCCATTTCTGCCAATAAATGTTACACTAAATATAAAAACAGCAGTTTCAGTCGGAGCAGACCGGCTATGGAAACAAACCACAGAGAGGCTGCGATACAACACAGGCAGAGGGAGAGAGACACCATATGACTGATCCAATATATAACCTTTAACTATTCTATTTGGGACAGACACAGTCAGACGTTAACGGGGCTGCAGGAGGGGAGCTGGAGGTTCCACAGGTACCACACGTCTGCTTTATCAAGTGGAACATTCTTGTTGGAGATGGTCGGTTAAATTGGGATCGAAACGCCTCCACAAGCCGCCTACACTGCTGAACTAAACATGTTGGGTCTAGAGGAGCCTCTCACACACACACACACACACACACACACACACACACACACACACACACACACACGTCTTGACTTGGATCCTCTCGTGCTGCACAGACTTCAGAGGCCGTTTATTCCCAAAACTCGTAATAATCTGCTGCAGCCACGGGAGCGGAGGAGGACGGATCACACGCCGCCGTCGCGTCTTTTATCTTATCAGGATGAAAACGCTGCCTCTGTTTCCACGACTCAAACAAAGTCCCAGTGCCTTCCAAATAACTCCTTTTCATGCAGTTGTTGCAGCACGCGTGAGAGCACACAAACACCCATGGCTCTGTGTCGACGTGTGTTTTAAAAGTGAATGAGGACTAATTTGAAGCAAAGCCCTTTTTCAGATGTCTGTAGGGAGTGTGCAACAAAGCAGAGAGAACGTGGGAGATTGAGGCGAGAGATCTAGTGTCTAAGAGAGTCGGTAGCAGGAGGAACCTGAGGCTCGATTCCCCACCTGGTGCTCTGTGATATGGGGGGGGGTGTCTCCTGGTGAATCTACATCTGGTTAACTTTCAGCAGTCGGTTCATACAATCCGACACGAGCAGAACTGCAGGTTTCCCAGAGGAACACAAAGAGTACGCCTACACTGCACGACAACCTCATCATCACAAATCATCAGTGACTAACCAAAGACCTGATGTGAACGAGGAAGACAACAAAAAACACTTTCACACAGATTATACATCAATACATCTAGAAATATTACTGACCAAACAACATGGTGGACACCCTGGCTTTTATCACCTGTATTGTATCACCAGTATACAACCCGGGAAACACCCACCGGTTCGCACCCCAATTCAATTAATTTCTGTTAATCATTCATTCAGTTTTTGAGCTGAGGATTGTGCCACATTCACTCATCCAGTTGGATTATTCCTGTATTTGGTGAGCTTTGGTGGACTGTGGGATTTCTGAGGTTATTTCCTGGAAATATTTAACTAACTACATCCTCCATTAACAAGATCTTCTGTCATTAAAGACAGAACCCTTCCCCACCAATAAGAAGATATTTCATCAATCCGTGTTTTCACCGTTTTAAAAACAATAAAAAAATTCTAGTCCAAAAAATAGAGGCTCTGTTCTTTCTTTTGATGTATTCACTGTTTATATATTCCTAGAACACAATATTCTTTAACGATCAGTGAATATGATCTTCAGTGCTGGGGGAGGCTTTAAAATAAAACTGAGGCGGAGGCGGGGAAAGTGTTAAAAGTATCATTTCTGATTTTTAACTGTTGTATGTTCTTGTGAATTTAATATTTTATGTCTTTCACTGTAAGACTGTACATGTTAATGTGTGTGTGTCCATGTGGGCAGTTTGACTCAAACCCAAGGTGAGAGAGAGAGGGAGGGAGAGAGGGAGAGAGAGAGCGAGAGAGAGAGAGAGAGAGAGAGAGAGAGAGAGAGAGAGGGAGGGAGGGAGAGAGAGAGAGAGAGAGAGAGAGAGAGAGAGAGAGAGAGAGAGAGAGAGAGAGAGAGAGGGAGGGAGAGAGGGAGAGAGAGAGAGAGAGAGAGAGAGAGAGAGAGAGAGAGAGAGAGAGAGAGAGAGCTGGTTGGCACCCCAAACTAAATTTTAAAAAATCCAAAGAAAAGCAAAGTGTTACAACATGTCAGTATTAAATCTTTCTACTCAACAGAAGACAAGTGACGGCTGATCAATGACCAATAATAGAGCAGATATCAGCAGTTCATTGATCACATCTGTTCTCTCTTATACTGAACTAAGACCTTGTTATTTCATTCAAACTCGACAATGACTGTAACGTCTCTCTGACCTCCCTCACTCCTCTACCCGCTTAATGCCTCTCCTCTCCTGGTCTGTCCCTCTCCCGTCCCTCTCCCGTCTCTCTCCCATCCCTCTCCCGTCCCTGCTGTGTCCTCATCTTCCCCACAGTCAGAGTCTTGGTTGCAGCCTCTGTGAATGTGATCTGAACGTGGCTGTAATGTATAACTGCTTCATTTGGGCTGACAGTAGCAGCACCTCTCCGTGCTCCTGAATCCGTCTGCGTCTCCTTCCTGTTTGCACCTTCTGCTGTTTAACTCTGATATGTTTGAACAAATCTGCGGCATCTCGACTGCAGCCGACAGCCTTCAAGCAAATATCACAGCGGGTGACATTTTCATTAACGAGCGAGAACAACCTGCAGACTTTCACTACCTGAACGCTGATCTCAGATCTGACAGCAGGTGGTTCGGCACATTATTATTCAGACTGATATCACGTTCGTATTACTCACTCTCTGCTGACACAGCAGCCGCTCAGATAACCTCGCATTCGTCACATTGACTGGAGAAATATGTTGATTTAAGAGTTATTATTTTGTTAAGCCGACTCACAGCGGCACCGTCCTCGTTCTTAACCTCATGGTTGGTTTTCTAACCTTCTTCCTTAAGGGACTCATTTTCTATGATTGAGTAAACTGACTACGTGACATGTTTTATGGATATTACATATTATATTTAATGCATAACAATAACAGCAGAGAACAGCTGATAAACTGCACAATGAACCCAAACAGTGAACTCAGTAACTGCAGGAACGTTGTATAAAACCATGTGAATATTGATCACAGATAAGGTTTCCTGATATTGTTAACAACTGTAACTCAGTATTATGCACTTTTCTAATTTTTAACACTCATACAAACTGAATGCACTTCTTCTTTTGACAAATTCTGTGTTTTAATCTCATTGTTCTTCTGCGTATTTTCTCTGTTTATCAGAGTTGCAGCAATTATTCCATTAATAGATTAGTTATCAACTATTAAATTAATCATCAACTATTTAGACAATCAGGTAATCATTTTTTATATTTTTTATAAAGAATATTTCTGGTTTCTTTAGTCCTCTATGACAATAAGCTGAATATCTTCGGGTTGTGGACAAAACAGGACATTTGAGGGCGTCACCTTGGGCTTTGGGGAATAGCGGTCAACATTTTCTGACATTTTATGGACCAAACTGCTAATTGTTTAATCCAGAAAAGGATCCAGAGATTAATTGATAATGAACATTTGTTAGTTGCAGCCCTGTTTAGCAGAGAGTTAAGCCTCTGTGAATATAACTCAGATATTCGTCGTGCCCTTATCCTGTTTGTATCTTAAATAATAATCTACACTTTCAAAAAACATAGGCCTACTGTGTGTACTTTCTAAAAGTTTTCTTACACCCCTTAAAGCACCTACACTAAGCTTTTTTATGTTGACCCTGTGGTCAAAAACGGTAGTGATTCAGCTGCTTCATTTAATTGATTTCAAAGGGAATTTGACCAAAAATCTGACCTGGTGGCAGGCATTAAGAATAACTATATATACTACAATAATCAATCTTCTCGCTTATGATCTTGTTGGCTTTGCTGGCAAATGAAGTCAACATGGAAATAACAACAGCTGCAGTTCTTCTAACGGCCCCTAGAGGCTCCAGCAGTGAGTCAATAAGGTAATAATACATTTAGAGAGTGAGGAATTCTTTCTGGGCATGAAAGAATCCGTGTTTTATCACCAAAAGCTGCAAGTATCAATCATACTCTTGAGTGTATGGATGTATATTATGTATGCATCACTACGTCGGTCACATGTACGGCAGTTAAGAATGATTCCTCTGAATGAGACTCCATGCTGTTATATTAAATTCACACCACACATTAATCATTTCCACTGCAGCTTCTAAAAGCAGATAAAAGGAAGCACAGACTGAAACTGAGAAAAACAACAATGGTTAATTAGCTAGAAGCCAATTAACATGGCAGCATAATTATCAGACGACCTTTGTGTTTGACCAGGTGTTTTCTCAGGAGTTTAACATCAGTCCGCGGCACTGAAATCCCACTTTATATGTCTTCTCATGCATCGTGTCACATAAACAAGGCGACAGAATAATCAGAAAAACAGTCACGTCAGAGCGAACACAAAGGAATCAGCACAAAGAGCCACAGCAGCACAGCCAGGACTCCTCTCCACATCATCCACGCGCTCCTGAGTCTGTTCGTCAGACACAAACTCACACCCGTTATTGTCTACATACGGCTGGTTTTACACTTCACATACAATAAAACCCCCTCACACTCACTCACTCCCACACACATTGGGAAGAAGAAGTGTGACATCTGAAGCAGGAAGAATAAAAGTGTTTGTTCCTGTACCAGATTCGCAGATGTAAAATCCCAGAGCGGGAAAACTGTGACGGAGAAGCTGCTCAGTCGCAGTCAACGGCTCCAACGGGGACCTCCGGGACAAAATCCACTCTGTGAATAAATAGAAACAGGTATGAGATGACAGCGTGTGACAGCAATGGAAGGAAAGATTACTTATCAGATACAGAAGATATCAAATAAAAGATATTCTAAATAACGAAGGAAGGAAAACAACAAACGCAACCAGAGGATCAATCAACCCGTCAATCAAACAGCAGAGAAACTCTCGACTGTCATTATTAAAGATAGATCACAATGACTCTCTATCATTAGCACTCATCACTGCATCGCGCCTCATGTGTCAATCAAACACAGACGGGGACGACAGGTGGCGCTTTGAATTCTGAGGCCGGAGGCGACAGTTCGGCCGACGTCCAGCGCCTGAATGGGACCGAAAAAGGTGCCAGGACCCAAATTCAGGACAACCCTGTAATCCTAATTCTTTTGGACAGGCGCCCCCCCACCCAGCTTCTGATTGGCCCAGAGTAGGACAGGTCTTCGCTGAATGCTGTTGGGTGTTCAGGAGTGCGTACATCAACTTACAGGTGGCATCCATTACAGGTATCCATAGGGATTCAAACTCACACAGACATCTGTTCCAATGTTTCCACACATACACACACACTATAGTCCATCCAGCAGTCAGTGAATATATTCTGGATATTTTTAAGTTATACGGTTAGCACTGAGGTTGGGCGATATGTGGAAATGTAATAAAGAAACTAAAAGTCACCAATGACAAGAGAAGAAATCCATATTATAGAAAAGTTCAACTGTACCGTTTCTTAGCCTCTTTCATTCACTGTCTTTAAACAAGACGACCCAAACACAAAGCATCCTGGGAAATTAGCTCAACCATTTGGTGAGTTTAGTGAACGCAAATCTTCATGCACACTCATATTTTAGTGTTCTTCCAACTTTCAACCTTTTGTTTGTCTCAGACCTTAAGGATGAACGGGAGCACCGACTGTGAGCCAGACCGGATATTATGTGACAGAAAACTGTTTGTTGCACGTACAGTTAACATCAGTGTGCATGTGTTTATTAACCACAGCCACAAAAAATGTGATCATTAATAGGCTACGTGCGCGTGGATGTGAGTAAGTCGCTGGATGGCAGAACACACAGACCTGATTGGGTAGGTTGTGTGTCCATATACTTTTGGCCGTTTGGAACGTGTTGTACTACACTGACTTTATGCTTTTATGAAAGACTCTGAGATGGACTGATCTGGATCACTCTTCAGTCCGTCTGTCAGTGTAACAAGTGTTGAGTCCAACATGAATCCAGCTCTGCAGGCCGGCCTCATTACAGCTGACTGTTGGGAAGGTAACAGTGTGCGAGGCTCTGGGGGGGGGGACAGATGGGAGGAGTGAAGCAAGTGTGGTCTTTATTCTGTCCTCCCTGGTGCTCACTGCGCTCCGTCCAGATGGCGGCTCCTCTCTGTGGCTGCACAGAGCAGAGGGAGGCGACATGATGCCTGTCAGGAGCCCCGGAGCCCGGTCTGAGCCAGAGCCTGTGACAAACCCTCGCCGAGCACGCCGACGGTCTAATCTGCATCCACATCAAGGAGGGTGTGTGTGTGTGTGTGTGTGTGTGTGTGTGTGTGTGTGTGTGTGTGTGCTGGGGACGGGGGGGCTGGAGTCATCCTGAATCGCAGGAGGTCTCGGGCTGTTTTACTGCAGCTGATAGCGGCGAGCGCTGCTGCTGTTTGTGTGCTAACAGCCCTCTGATGGCTCCAGGAGCACCGCCAGATTGGCTCGTAGTGAGAAACAACAGCAGCCATTAAAAGCTGCTCAATGCGACCTGGGGGAGGGAGGAGGGGGGAGGAGGCCACCCACCCACTAACAAACAGCCCGGCCCAGTGTGAGTCCGGGTCTCTCTCTGTTTGTCTCAGCTGGCAGGAAAACAGAACCAGATCCATTAACATGCACTTCACTAATCTGATCATCCCTCTCTGTAGCCGGAACTCCTCAGTCCCTTTATCATGTAAAAGCTGGAAGAGTTTAACACTTACATGAGTCTCTTAAAGACACAAAGAGAGGGATTAAGATCATCTCCAAAGTCTTCAGTGCATTCTCACACATTATTGTCTCCAGTAAATGGATTTATAGAAGAGAAACAGAGACAATTGGTTACAGTAATCTGGATTTCATCAGGTAGATTTCTCTCACGTATACAACAGAGAAATCTTTTTACACGAGGACCAACGGGACTTTTCCTTCAGCACTTTTTGGTCGCGTTGAGTCCAACGATTCTGCACTGATTTGCGGCGAGTTGTTTGACAGAGTCAAACTGAAGTCCTGAAGGTTGGGGGTTGGGCAGTAATCTGATTACTGATCAGCTGCGTGTATTCAGGGATTTACAGGAACTAACGTGCATGTAAACGCAGATTTAACCAGATTTATGTCAACACAGTTCATGTTAAACTGCAGTGAGACTGTCAGTCAGATTAAAACATAATGCACATTTTACACAATTATGATCGTTTCTTTACAGAATTAGTTTCACTTTTGAAAATGAGGTCGGCTTCGTTTCCTACCTGTGATCGTACTCTGAGATTAATTCAAATTTTCTGCCTCATAATGAGAAGTTTTCTGATCAAACTTAATGCTACAATTATTATTTAATTCCTCTCAGACTGATGAGTGCAGCTCAAATTAATTAATTATGTTTTTTACTGCCTTAAACAGTTTAAATGTATTAACTCAAACTATTTAAGCATTAAATATTTGATTTAAGTAATTTATTATGGTAAATGAATCTAACTTAAAACTAGTATGTTACACTCATTCAGCATTTCTACAAACAAATTTAAATCTATTAACAGGATTTATCTGAATAAAGTCACTTAAATCTTACAGACCAGAATCCATTTATAATCTCTCCGGATCTCCAGATTATCGTAACGTCTTTCAGACCCGACGGACCAACAACCTTTGCTGCACTTTGTTGTCAGATCTGTAACTTCAGTCTAACACGACAGATCAAACCAGCCGACAGCACATAAAGAAAACAGCTCACGCTTTAAAGAACCAGACTTTATATTGATGAGCATCACAAACAGTGACGGTGGCCTGGAAGCCAATTAGCAGCCCTTTGAGTCTACGGAGGAGGTCGGCGATGGGCACTTTGATGTGCGACTTTTCAAAGCGACGCGGCGTAAACGGCCGAGAGGAGACCAGCGGGGATCAAACTGCAGGTGCAGCTGACTGAAAAAAGGGTCAGAATAATTGAATATGTCAACAGGAACGATCCACGAGCTCGCTGACAGAGCGGGAAGACGGCACATAAACCGGTGTTTAAATGGTTGCAGTTAAATAAATCCTTGTATTGATTTTATCTTCTTCTCTGCAGACGGACAAAAGCTTCTTATTAGAGCAGAATGAACTCTTTCTAAGTCAGGATGAAGGTGGGGGTGGCTGAGTTGTGTAGGACTCATGATGAAGTCTGCAGTATCCCATAATGCACTGGGTGACAAACACTAGTGAATATAATTCCCAGTGCAGTTTTATGTGTTTCTGGAAAAGTATCAGTGTCTTGAAACTAGAAAGAAAGTTTTGAGTTTTGAATTTTTAGGACTCAAAATGTTCATCGAGGCAGCCTGAGGGCTAGTGCAGAGCCCCAGACTCCCCTTAAAAATTGTACAATTTTGAGAGCTGTTAAACGAGAAGCAAACAAACTTTTTGAAAAGCTGTCAAAGACTAATTCTTAATTATTTGGGCCTTCTTGTAAATTCAGCAAATATTAGACATTAATGAATTCATTTATTTATGTGTCTGCCATGTGGAGACTCATTCTAACGGCAGGTGTGAACTGACGTACTTAGAGCTTTTTACTTGAGATCAGATCACAGAAGAGGCGTTAACTTGAAGTCTTCAGCCCCCCCCGACCCATCAACCCTTTCACTGCAGGATCCTGGTGATGGTTCCTTCAGGTTACCTCCTCTCTCTACAGCACAACCAGCGTCTCCCCCTCACCTGAACAAACGAACCAAAGCAGTGACTGCAGGGTTGCTGCTGTTTGGTGTGAAGGCCGGCTGGATATCGGGGTGAATTCAGATTTTGACTCTTGCATTCTGGGTACAGTAGAAACAGCCAAGGACGCTGCTGCTGGGAGAGAAACGGAGAGGGAGGAGCTGAGATAAGAAAGATTTTTAGATGAGTTCAGGGACTCTGGGAGAGATTCTGGCTTTGGTTGGAGGTTGGGGGAGGGGGGGGTCGAGGGGAGTTAAAAGCTTCAACTAGACTTCTTCAACCTGCCTGTACAGCAGTAAAAGAGGGGGAGGTGGGGCCGCAAAGGGCGGATCCTCCTCCTCTCTTTGAGGTGAAGAATGAAAAACATCCAGGTTTTTTAAAGGGAGTCTGGTGCTTTTAAACACAACACAGTTCACTTCAGTCCGCCTCTAATGCACAACACTGGGCTTCTGCTGGTTTTAAATAGCTAGGACATAAATAAAAGGTTGCCGGTTGCTTGGTTTAAAGGACACGCAACTTCGATCTCACAGGGGAAGCTGCTCAGTACAACCTCAGTCTGATCTGCTGCCTCTGAGCAGTTCTGGGTTGAGGGCTTTGCTCACCCTCATTGCCACCACTGAGGTATGATATATATATATATATATATATATATATATATATGATATAATATAATATAATATAATATAATATAATATAATAATATGACATTTGAATGTGGAGTTATTGTTTATTGTGGTTTCTGCTACCAGTCGTGTCAGTCAACAGAAAGCAGATCGCACTGACAGGAAGTCAGACACAGAAACAGCAAAGAGAATCTGGGCAACTTTCAAAATAAAATACAGGAAACGCGCTCTGAAGAGGACCAAACCGCGTCAGAGACAAATAGAACACTAACCACCAAAGCTTATATAAATAAATACTGTTTTTATTTAAATCTACATTGAGGCCAGACTATATTAATATTGGTTTTTATTGTTGTTCACTGGAGCTGTGGTTGCCAGGTCAGATTAAAAAGGCTCCTGAGGTGACAATCAGAAAATGTTTCCACTGACAGAAAATGCAGAAAAAGCCAAA